CATCAGTTAACCAGAGATTTTTACTGTGCGGCTATGTTCTTATCTGATTCGTGTTATTTGTAGGACCTGAGTACCAGAAGGATTATTATCAGGGGACATGTTGTATTATATAGGCGATCCACCTCTAGTTTCACCAGATCTTCTACCTCCATCACCTGCACTTGTTTTGTCTTTATCTGTTCCTAGCTTGTATGCTAGTATTTTACCTAATACTTGTCGTTATGATTTTTCATTACAAACTGTTCAGTTGTGGCATGATCGTTTTAAACATACAAATTTTAAATATTTATGTATGTTATTTCCTACTTTGAACAATGCATGTGTTGGTGGTAAACTTGATTGTGTTATATGTTCCCTATCGAAATATGTTTAGACCAGTTATATTCCTAGCATGCACCAATCACCCAAACCATTTAACCTAATATATTGACATTTGGGGACTCTTTCTTGTTACTGCTTTGTCAGGTGTTCGATACTATGTGATATTTATAGATGACCATACTCGTTGTACTTGGATCTATCTTTTGCATAGGAAGTCTGATGTACTCTCTGTTATCACTCAGTTTCTCCAAATGATTAAGACACAATTTGATGTCATTGTTCGTGTTATTCGTTCGAATAATGCCAAAGAATATGTGTCTGATGCCTAAGTGTTTCACCTTTCTTCCCAAGATTTTTTTCAGTAGCTCACTTGTCCATATATTCCTGAGCAAAATTGAGTTGCAGAAAGAAAAAATAGGAGTCTGATAGGGATGGTACGTTGTATGCTTAGAGGTATGAGGGGTACCAAAATTTTATTGGCATTTTATTGCTTTGACTTCTATCTTTCTGTGCAATCGTACACCGAGTCATGTTCTTCAGTATAGGGCTCCCTTATAGGTCTTATTCCCTGAGCNGAATTAAAATTTTATTGGCATTTTATTGCTTTGACTTCTATCTTTTTGTGCAATCGTACACCGAGTCATGTTCTTTAGTATAGGGCTCCCTTATAGGTCTTATTCCCTGAGCAAAAACTTTTTTCGATCCCCCCTTGTGTTTTTGGCTGCACACATTTTGTTCAGGTTCGATCTCCTACTCGTCATAAGCTTAGTGATAAAGCAATTTGTTGTGTCACTATGGGCTATTGTCATCAGTCCAAGGGGTATCGGTGTTATGATCCTATTAGGCGCCGTATATATAACAGTGTAGATGTTACCTTTCTTGAACATATTCCTTATTTTTGTTCTAGCCCTCTGTTTGCCCTTTAGTTGATGATCCTCTGTTTGATTTTTCGTTACCATAGGAGCCAGAGTCATTGGTCACTACCACTACAGAGTCATCAGTCTCTCGTCCTCTAGAACCACTCATCCCTATCAGTATAGAGTCACCAGATTCTCTTCCTTTGTAGGTTTATGATCGTCACCCTCACTCTCATTCCCATAATGATGTCCTTTCTACCTCAGGCGATGCAGTTAATATTTCTTAGTTCATTGAGCATATTGATGTACCTATTGTTAGTACTGATGAGATTGTAGATACTGAGTCAGTTACTTTACCTGATGAGACATTGCCTGTGGAGGATGATGATTTAGGGCGTCGTTATCCGCGACGTCTAGTTGTTCGTTATAGTTGGATCGCCAGAATTTTATATTCGATCTCTACTTATGTTTCTTATGATGGTCTATCTCCAACATTTCCAGTTTATAATATAGTCTTATCTGATACACCGATGCCTCGTTCTGTTTCAGAGGCAATACAGGAGCTGCAGTAGGTTCTTGCCATGCAAACGGAGATGAACGCTCTTCAACGTAATCATATGGGGGATCCTGCCTCTTTACCTTCAGGGGTGAAGCCTGTTGGCTACCACTAGATTTATACCTTGGGGCCTGTTTGTTTCGAGTATAAAATTTAGGTGGTATAAGATTTTATATCTATTCCACTCCGATCCAATGATATATTATACCTGGTCTTAAACTATACTCTCATCCTTCCCCTTGTTTGTTTGTCACAAATATTAACTGTGTAATACTTACTTAAAAAAATCAATAATTACGGCTATGACCTGTAAAAAGACAATTGTAACCTTGTAACCTTAAAAAGACAATTGTACATGAGGGCAGTTGGGTCTTTTTACTCTATTATACCTCCATCTTATTTGTGCCGGGCATATAATACCACCGGGTAGGTGGTATTCATTAAGATAATCTACAATGTATTATGACTACTGTTCATAGCGTGTCGGTATTACGACCCAAAAAATAATATTAGCTATAAAATGCTAAACAAACAAGATATAAGATCGGTCTTATGAACTATTTCTCTAATACCACCTCCTTATATCACTCTAATCTTTGAAACAAACTAGCCCTTGAAGGTTTTTACAGATGGTACTATTGATCGTCACAAGACTAGGCTTATGGTGAAGGACTTTACTCAAGTACTAGGTTGTGATTTTCGTACTACTTTTGCCATCGTGATAAAATTGACTACTGTTTGATTGATTATTTCTTTGGCTGCGGAGCACTCTTGCCCTCTTCATCAGTTAGATGTGAAGAAAGCATTTCTTCATGGTGATCTGGATGAGATTATTTATATAGATGCACCATCGGGCTTTCGTGGTTAGGGGGAGTATGCTGAAAATGTATATCNTGCGGAGCACTCTTGCCCTCTTCATCAGTTAGATGTGAAGAAAGCATTTCTTTATGGTGATCTGGATGAGATTATTTATATAGACGCACCATCGGCCTTTCGTGGTTAGGGGGAGTATGCTGAAAATGTATATCCACTACGTAAGTCTCTTTATGGACTAAAGCAGTCACCACGAGCCTAGTTCTCTTGCTTTAGTGGTTTAGTTGTACGTTTAGGGTTCACTAAATGTCATTCTGATCATACTTGCTTCATTNAAGCAGTCACCACGAGCCTAGTTCTCTTGCTTTAGTGGTTTAGTTGTACGTTTAGGGTTCACTAAATGTCATTCTGATCATACTTGTTTCATTTGACGAAATACTTATGGACAGTGTGTCATATTTTTGATTTATGTTGATGATATTATTATTAATTGAGATGATATATTTAGGATTACATAGGTCAAAGGGACACTTAGGGAAGGCCTTCGATGTGAAGGACCTTGGATTTTCGCGATACTATCTTGGGATTGAGATTGCCCATAACAAAAAGGGTATTGTTCTTTCTCAAAAAAAGTATGTTATGGATCTTCTCTCAGACACTGGGTGCAAACCGGCATCATCATCCATGATTCCAAACCTAAAGCTTATTACCGAAGGTGAGGAGTTGAGTGATCCGACTGTCTATCAAAAGTTGGTAAGTAGATTTATCTACCTAGTCAACATTAGACCAGACAATTCATTCGCTGTTAGTTGAGTTAGCCAGTTCATGCACAGGTCGTGTCAGCCTCGTCTTTATACAGTTTATCATATTCTTCGGTACCTCAAGTCTTGTCCTGGACTTGGGTTATTCTATGTATCAGGATCACAAATTGGTTCTTTAGTCCGTTATTCATATTCAAATTATGGGGAAGCCTGTGACGATCGATCTACTACGGATTTCTTTGCTTTTCGAATGGCTCATCTTAACTCTTGGAAGAGTAAGAAACAATTAATTGTCTCTCGCTCGCCAGCAAAGACAGAGTATTAGGCACTAAGACTTGGCACTTGTGAGATTATCCGGCTACAATCGATTATTGGTGAGTTGAGATTTTCAGTGACTTCTTCATCTACATTATAATATGATAATTGATCTGCTATTGAAGTTAGTTCTCACTCAGTACTACACGAGAGGACGAAGTATATAGAGATCAATGTTTATTTTCTTCGGGAGAAGGTTAGCTATGGTATTGTCACTCCATTGTTTGGGGGAACCAATGATTAGGTTGCAAATATTTTCATCAAACTTGTCACTCTATCCATTCTTCGAGACTCTGTTGTCAAGCTTGACTTAGTTAATATTTTTGCGCCTAACTTGTGGGGGAGTATTGGAGTATAGTCTAATTTATTAGAGTTTATTTTTCTTTTTTTAGCTTTACTATGGCTTTTATATTTTGCCTAGACACAAGGATGTTTAGGTCACTTTGTTCTATTATTTGGCTATATATATGAGACTCTACTCTTAATTTGAGTCACTAATACATCAAGTGGGCTCATCCTCAAGTTGGATACAAACCAATCCCAAAAACTTAAGCCTAAGCTTGGAGTTTGTCCAAACTTTACATATAAACCCATTGCTTTTACCTATTTGAGGTTAATGTTATTTAACCTTATAGTTTGATAACAGGTGGTGAAACAAGATTATGAATCATAAAAAGGGGAGGCATAGCCGTCCTTCTATAATAAGTCAAAATGAAAACAATAAATTAAATGTGATTATGTAATAAAAATGAGGAAATGTTGGGTGAATTTCATTTTGCACCTTGAAAGATTTAAGAATTCCCACTTTTGCATTTTCAATGATTAGGTTTTCCATATTACACCCTTAGTATATTAAAAATGATGCAATGTGATTATTCCGTTAATTTTTTATACTCATTCCGTCAACATCAATGAGATAATATTCAATGGGATCAAAATTGTAAACAAATCTATTATTGATGTCATTGAATTGCTCATTACCCATTCCGTTACTCATTGGTATGATAAAGAGGATATAATATTCAAAAATTGGATCAAAGTTTGAAACACTTAAGATTATTTACTTTTCTCCTTTGAACAAATCTATTATTGATGTCATTGAATTGCATACCTCACTGCTGATCCATTACAATCTACAAAATACTGCTACGCCAGAACACCTAACTGTGCCTTGTACATGTTATGTATAAGCATGAAGATACCATGAGATTAGTTGAATTTTAATCTTCTTCAGTACTGCTGAAACCGAGGTAGAAATGAAAACTAGAAGTGAATAATTATACATATTGACAGGTATAATAATCGGAACAAAAGCTTTGTTGTGTGATTCGGTTTGATTATGATAACTGTCTAATATGACAAATAAACATACGTAATATGCATGGCACTGCGATCTCCTTTTCAGTAACATATGCTTGATAAATACCTTGAATTAGACTTCTAAATGTCTAATTTACATCAGCCAGTGGCTTTATTAATTGGTGATTTTCCATATTAACCTGTTGGGTTTTTTCTTTTTTTTTGTGTAGCTGTTTGCGAAAAGAAATAAACTCTTATTCTTTCCCACTCCTGATGAGTGACATATATTATGTTATAATTATAAGTTGTTTTTGGTGATTAGAGTATCTCAGGTTGGTTGATTTGACCTGTCCAGAATAGCCAAAACAAATCGGTTGAGTTGGCCAAAGCCTTTGCCCCTTTGGCTGTTTCAAAAATGGACTTGACTATGATACTAAATAAAAAAACATTTGGTACTATATCTCTAAAATTATTATTTTTTATGAGTATTTTTTTTAAAAAAAATTTATTATAATTGTGGATATTTTAACCATATTTTTTGGTACAAAAAAAAATTATTAATTTTTTATGTGATTTATCACTTTTGTGAGTATTTTTATCATTATTATAGGAACTATTTTTATCATTTTTTTTAGGTATCACAACAATAATAAAAATAATCATAGAAATAATAAAAATATCCATAAAAATAATAAACGATACCAAATTTTTTTTTACGACTGTAGACAACTCCAAACAGAATCTCTTAGTTTTTATGTGTGTTGAAAGTCAATATATATGACCAGTTGAGAAGGTCAATATAGGACCTATTTTAAGACCTAGTAAGCAGACAAANGGGATTGGCTGAAAAAGCAGTGAAACTAAACAAAGCATTGGCCTTAGCCGGTCCACTACTAACAGGTCTAGCAGCAGTTGGGTCTGCTTTTGCAGGATCTTCTTCACTTGGTGCTTGGGCCACGATGCTTGGTGTCGTTGGTGGCGCTTTGGCAAGCATAGTGAACACAGTCGAGCATGGCGGGCAAGTAGGGATGGTGTTTGAGATGTACAGGAGCAACGCTGGTTTCTTTAGGCTGATGGAGGAGTCCGTAGAGTCAAATTTGAATGAAAGTGATGTGGGTAGGAGAGAGAATGGGGAATTGTTTGAAATGAAAGTGGCTTTGCAGTTGGGAAGGAGCCTCTCAGAGCTAAGGGATCTTGCAGCTTCATCATCTAGAAAGGGACAGACTGATGAAGAATTTGCAAACAAGCTTTTCTAAAATTTGTGCCCTATAAGTATACCATTTCATGTAAATGTTGCACTAACTTCAGCTAATGTACAAATCTGTCTATAATCTGTTAATCGATTGATTAATTCTTTCAATGCAAAAATATTCTTGCATTTGGACATTGCCAATGTTGCTTTATACAAATATCGCCATATTTACCAACATTTTACAGCAATTACATAAACTATCATTTGAAAGCCTTTAATTCGGCTTGATGGAATGGTAAGGAGAACTAATCTCAAAAGGATGCAATTAATCATAACTCGTTTAACAAACGTTTCAAAATTATGGTATAGTCACATCCCAAAAAATGCTTGATTGAGACGATGCTTTGTTGTGATTAGGTTCTTATTAATGTTTGACGCTTTTATAAGGTCACAAAAGAATAAGTTGGCTCATTTGAATTTATGCAGTACAAAAGGCAGATGTTAAATAAAAGGATTATGGATCTGGCCGAAGAACCATGGAATATATGCATCTAGCTAGCCATCTAATGCAATTTGAAGACAGTAGATCAAACCATCTACTGATAATTCAGAGGCCTCAAATTCAATATTTCTTATATCCCTTAAGAAATAGTCACTTTTGTTTTTCATGGAATATGTTCTAAAGTCGCTCGGGTTACGGTGAGCAATGTCCACGCTCGAAAGAGTAGTCAATACAAACATAAACATATAGTTAAAAAAGAAAACACTCCTCTTAAGCATATGTGCCTATTGTCTTAGGCACAACATATAATTTAGATGCTGCAATATATTATCTTCTACTACAAGCCTACAACGTGAGGATATAGATGCAAGGATAAGTGTTATAATTTATATGAGTTATATTTTGGCTCATACATAAGTTGGATACAGCTTAAGCCTAAGGTTGGAGTTTACATATAAGGGAAACAAGATTACGAATCATAATAAGGGAAGGCTGCAATGTTTTCCATTAGTTTCTGTTACTTATATCGTCAACGTTAATAAAGTGATTTTGACGGAATAAAAAACAAAAACTAACAGAATGATCAAATTGTAACACTTTTAATAAATTAAAGGTATAATATAAAAAAAAATCATCTTTAAAGATATGAAGTGAAAAATTCATCTTTAAAGGTATGAAGTAAAAAATTTTAAATCTTTCAAAAGACGAAGTAAGACTCTCTCTAAAATATTTCAATTAAAATTCCGAAGAGAACTTACGGATCTTATTGGTCTGACAAATAGGATATAATATTCAAATTTTTGGATCAAAGTTTGAAACACTAGAGATTATTTACTTTTCTCCTTCGAACATATCTATTATTGATGTCATTGAATTGCTTACTTCACTGCTGATCCATTTCAACCCGCAATATACTGCTATGCCAGAACACTTGACTATGCCTTGTACAAGTTATGTATATGCATGAAGATATCACGAGATTAGTTGGATTTTAATCTTCTTAAATACTCTAATACAGTGCTGAAACCGAGGTAGAGATGAAAAATAGAGGTGAATAATTATGCATATTGACAGATATAATAATTGAGATAAATGTTTTATTGGGTGATTGGGTTTGATAACCGTCTAACAATGTGACAAATAAACATACATAATATGCAGGGCAAATGTAATTTCTTTTTCAAAAACATATGCTTGATTACTTTCTTAAATTAGACTTCTAAATATTCAATTTACATTAGAGTCGTAGTTGATTTTCTATATTAACCTGTTGGTTTTTTTTTTTTTTTTGAGGTAGTTACCAGCGAAAAGAAATAAACTCTTATTCCTTCTCACCCGTGATTAGTGACATACAATAAGTTATAATTATAAGTTGTTTTTAATGATTAGATTATCTCAAGTTGGTTGATTTGACATGTCTGGAATAGCCGAGACAAAATGGTTGAGTTGGCCAAAGCCTTTGCCCCGTTGGCTGTTTCAAATATTGACTCGACCATGATAGTGAATAACAAAATTTAATATTTTTGTGAATAATTTATTATTTTTATGAATATTTTTATTACTTTTGTGGCTATTCTAATCACTTTTTTCGGTACAAAAAAAAATTATCACTTTTATATCTGATTTATCACTTTTATAGGTATTTTTATCACATTTTTTTGATACCACAACAGTAATAAAAATATTTACAAAAATAATTAATAATAACCATTTTTTTTGGAACTACTTCTAAAATAATCTGCTAGTTTTTTGTGTGTTGAAAGTCAATATATATGACCAGTTGAGAGGGTCAATATAGGACCTGTTTTAAGACCCTGTAAGCAGCCAAAATGAAGGGCAAGATCACAAACCATTAGACAAGAAATAGTCTGAGCCATCAGATTTTTCAAACTCTTGAACAGCCTTGGGTTTGTTAGTCAACTTTCTCCTATATATATGCTATACCATGCATGTAAGAACTCCAATCTAATTACTACTCTTCACAGCCCAAATCATTCAATACTCACCACTACAAGAACCCAAGAAGAGATCATTCAGAAAACTCTTCTAAACCCGAAGTTGTAAACCATTCAACACCAAAGTATATCACAATTTTAGTTGCAATAACAAGAAGAGAGATCATTATAGGAGTGGAGATGGCCCTTCAAGCTTCAAGCTTTTTGTGTGCTTCTGGTTCTGTGTCATCCCGGCATCAAAGAAGAAACATTACAGCCACTATCAGTCTTCCTAAACTCCGGACAAGTAATCTTTCCCAGCCAAAACTTCCAACTAGAGGTTTGGTGGAGGAATTGGCGTTGAGTAGTGCAACTACCACCAAAACTTACCTTGAAAGACAGTCGAATTCACCTAAGAATAATACTAGCCCTAGGCTTCAACCTCAAGCCAATGATTCTGATCCCATGGTTATTGCAAAGCTATATGCAATAATGGAGGCTGTCGCGGATAGAGTGGAGATGCACAAGAATATTGGAGAGCAAAGAAACAATTGGAACAGCCTGCTTTTAACATCCATCAATGCAATCACTCTTGCTGCTGCAACCATGACTGGAATTGCAGCGACAAGTTCTATCAGTGCTCCTATGATGGCGGTGAAGACCGCTTCTACTCTAATGTATTTGTCAGCAACAGGGATGCTGTTGATTATGAATAAACTTCAACCATCTCAACTTGTCGAAGAACAACGAAACGCTTCAAGGTTGTTCAAGCAGCTTCTTGGACAGATTCACACTCTTGTGTCAATTGGTAATCCTACAGTTGTTGATGTGAAGGAAGCAATGGAGAAAGTCTTGGCTCTTGACAGGGCCTATCCTCTTCCTCTAATCGGCGTGATGCTTGAAAAATTCCCATCTGCAGTGGAGCCTGCAGTGTGGTGGCCCCAACAACGACGGAGAAAAATGAAAGGGAATAATGGGAAAATGGATTGGAATGGTTGGAATGGAAAGTTGGAAGAGGAAATGAGAGAACTAGTTGGGATTATGGAGAGGAAAGATAAAGCAGACTATTTGAGATTGGCTGAAAAAGCAGTGAAACTGAACAAAGCATTGGCCTTAGCCGGTCCATTACTAACAGGTCTAGCAGCAGTTGGGTCTGCTTTTGCAGGATCTTCTTCACTTGGTGCTTGGGCCGCGATGCTTGGTGTCGTTGGTGGCGCTTTGGCAAGCATAGTGAACACAGTCGAGCATGGCGGGCAAGTAGGGATGGTGTTTGAGATGTACAGGAGCAACGCTGGTTTCTTTAGGCTGATGGAGGAGTCCGTAGAGTCAAATTTGAATGAAAGTGATGTGGGTAGGAGAGAGAATGGGGAATTGTTTGAAATGAAAGTGGCTTTGCAGTTGGGAAGGAGCCTCTCAGAGCTAAGGGATCTTGCAGCTTCATCATCTAGAAAGGGAGAGACTGATGAAGAATTTGCAAACAAGCTTTTCTAAAATTTGTGCCCTATAAGTATACCATTTCATGTAAATGTTGCACTAACTTCAGCTAATGTACAAATCTGTCTATAATCTGTTAATCGATTGATTAATTCTTTCAATGCAANTCGAGATAAATGTTTTATTGGGTGATTGGGTTTGATAACCGTCTAATAATGTGACAAATAAACATACATAATATGCAGGGCAAATGTAATTTCTTTTTCAAAAACATATGCTTGATTACTTTCTTAAATTAGACTTCTAAATATTCAATTTACATTAGAGTCGTAGTTGATTTTCTATATTAACCTGTTGGTTTTTTTTTTTTTTTTTAGGTAGTTACCAGCGAAAAGAAATAAACTCTTATTCCTTCTCACCCGTGATTAGTGACATACAATAAGTTATAATTATAAGTTGTTTTTAATGATTAGATTATCTCAAGTTGGTTGATTTGACATGTCTGGAATAGCCGAGACAAAATGGTTGAGTTGGCCAAAGCCTTTGCCCCGTTGGCTGTTTCAAATATTGACTCGACCATGATAGTGAATAACAAAATTTAATATTTTTGTGAATAATTCATTATTTTTATAAATATTTTTATTACTTTTGTGGTTATTCTAATCACTTTTTTCGGTACAAAAAAAAAAATTATCACTTTTATATCTGATTTATCACTTTTATAGGTATTTTTATCACTTTTTTTTGATACCACAACAGCAATAAAAATATTTACAAAAATAATTAATAATAACCATTTTTTTTGGAACTACTTCTAAAATAATCTGCTAGTTTTTTGTGTGTTGAAAGTCAATATATATGACCAGTTGAGAGGGTCAATATAGGACCTGTTTTAAGACCCTGTAAGCAGCCAAAATGAAGGGCTAGATCACAAACCATTAGACAAGAAATAGTCTGAGCCATCAGATTTTTCAAACTCTTGAACAGCCTTGGGTTTGTTAGTCAACTTTCTCCTATATATATGCTATACCATGCATGTAAGAACTCCAATCTAATTACTACTCTTCACAGCCTAAATCATTCAATACTCACCACTACAAGAACCCAAGAAGAGATCATTCAGAAAACTCTTCTAAACCCGAAGTTGTAAACCATTCAACACCAAAGTATATCACAATTTTAGTTGCAATAACAAGAAGAGAGATCATTATAGGAGTGGACATGGCCCTTCAAGCTTCAAGCTTTTTGTGTGCTTCTGGTTCTGTGTCATCCCGGCATCAAAGAAGAAACATTACAGCCACTATCAGTCTTCCTAAACTCCGGACAAGTAATCTTTCCCAGCCAAAACTTCCAACTAGAGGTTTGGTGGAGGAATTGGCGTTGNCCTCCCGGCATCAAAGAACAAACATTACAGCCACTATCAGTCTTCCCAAACTCCGGACAAGTAATCTTTCCCAGCCAAAACTTCCAACTAGAGGTTTGGTGGAGGAATTGGCGTTGAGTAGTGCAACTACCACCAAAACTTACCTTGAAAGACAGTCGAATTCGCCTAAGAATAATACTAGCCCTAGGCTTCAACCTCAAGCCAATGATTCTGATCCCATGGTTATTGCAAAGCTATATGCAATAATGGAGGCTGTCGCGGATAGAGTGGAGATGCACAAGAATATTGGAGAGCAAAGAAACAATTGGAACAGCCTGCTTTTAACATCCATCAATGCAATCACTCTTGCTGCTGCAACCATGACTGGAATTGCAGCGACAAGTTCTATCAGTGCTCCTATGATGGCGGTGAAGACCGCTTCTACTCTAATGTATTTGTCAGCAACAGGGATGCTGTTGATTATGAATAAACTTCAACCATCTCAACTTGTCGAAGAACAACGAAACGCTTCAAGGTTGTTCAAGCAGCTTCTTGGACAGATTCACACTCTTGTGTCAATTGGTAATCCTACAGTTGTTGATGTGAAGGAAGCAATGGAGAAAGTCTTGGCTCTTGACAGGGCCTATCCTCTTCCTCTAATCGGCGTGATGCTTGAAAAATTCCCATCTGCAGTGGAGCCTGCAGTGTGGTGGCCCCAACAACGACGGAGAAAAATGAAAGGGAATAATGGGAAAATGGATTGGAATGGTTGGAATGGAAAGTTGGAAGAGGAAATGAGAGAACTAGTTGGGATTATGGAGAGGAAAGATAAAGCAGACTATTTGAGATTGGCTGAAAAAGCAGTGAAACTGAACAAAGCATTGGCCTTAGCCGGTCCATTACTAACAGGTCTAGCAGCAGTTGGGTCTGCTTTTGCAGGATCTTCTTCACTTGGTGCTTGGGCCGCGATGCTTGGTGTCGTTGGTGGCGCTTTGGCAAGCATAGTGAACACAGTCGAGCATGGCGGGCAAGTAGGGATGGTGTTTGAGATGTACAGGAGCAACGCTGGTTTCTTTAGGCTGATGGAGGAGTCCGTAGAGTCAAATTTGAATGAAAGTGATGTGGGTAGGAGAGAGAATGGGGAATTGTTTGAAATGAAGGTAGCTTTGCAGTTGGGAAGGAGCCTCTCAGAGCTAAGGGATCTTGCAGCTTCATCATCTAGAAAGGGAGAGACTGATGAAGAATTTGCAAACAAGCTTTTCTAAAATTGGTGATTTATAAGTATACCATTTCATGTAAATGTTGCACTAACTTCAGCCTAATGTACAAATCTGTCTATAATCTGTTAACCGGTTGATTAATTGATTCAATGCAAAAGTATTCTTGCATTTGGACATTGCTAATGTTGCTTTATACACATATTGCCATATTTATCAACATTTGACAGCAATTACATAAATTATCATAAAAAAAAGCCTTAAATTCGGCTTGGAGGAATGGTAAGGAGAACTAATCATAAAAAGATACAAATAATCACAACTCGTTTAACGAACGCTTAGAAATTATGGTGTATTCACATCCCAAAAGATGCTTGGTTGAGACGATTCTTCATTATGATTAGGCTCTTCTTAATGTTTGACACTTTAACAAAGTCATAAAAGAATAAGTTGAAGACAGTATAGCAAACCATCATATATCGATATAAAAATCAATTTATACAATAGATCTCACTTGAATTCACCTTAGGCGAGATAGCAATGAAAGAAACGGATGCCTATTAATAAGAATCTCCATGATTTAGTGCGACTCCAAGGCACTTCAGGTATTTGTTGGAGTTGCAGAGGCATATGAACAAGAAATCATTTACAATAGCCAAAGAAAGGGCCAACGCTATGAACTTGAAAATACACACTGTTGTTATCAAATGAGCCAACAACGGCATATATTACTGCCAGAACTTAGAGGCGGCGACCAAACGGATCAAATCAAAAATGTCCAACAAAAACTAGTTATACAATATTATTAAGTTATGAGCATGACCTTGACCCCAAAAAAAAAAAGTTATGAGCATGACGATTCAATGAGATTCCTTGGATTTAATCTGATTTTACAATGGCATTTTTCTCTTTCATTTTCTGTTCAGTTACTGGAGACGTAGTCCTGCATGGGTTTTGTGTGTTGCTCCAATCACGTTAGTTTTTTTATCAATTTCTTTTCTATGTTGAGTTAATCTCAAATTACACCACGAAAGATCATTCAAATCTCAATTTACACCCTCAAAGATATAAAATCTTAATTTATACCATTAAAGATAGAAATCAGTATCAATCAGTTTATCGACTAAAACTAAATTAATAAATTACACTTTTACCCCCTCATGCTTCATTTAATCTCTTAGACCACTCACATTTAAAATATTACACCAACATTCCTTTAGAATTCAAATATGACTAAAAATATTCTCCTAATTGAGTATTTAAATAATTCTGTTTAAGCGATGTATTGCATTGAATATAAATAACATTATATAAATACATGCATTATATTGGACATTCAAATGATAAATTTAATTTTGAACTTTAAAATATAGCGAGTTTACAAAATAAATGGTAGTATGAAAATTATAATTTTTTATTAGGATGAACTCATATTTTTTTAATGGTTATATTAATAAATATCAATGACAAAGGGTTATGTGTTTACACATGTAAAAACGTTAGGAGGTGTATAAGTAATATTCTAAATATGAAGAGCTTCAAATGATTAAGTGACAAGTATAAAGAAATCTATGTATACTTTATCCATTTAGTTTTAAACGGCGAATTAACGACCGTTAGTTTTAGGTGCGCATTGATATAAATATAAATTAAATTTTTTTTTTTTGAGGGTGGAAATTGAAATTCGAACAATATTTTAGAATACAATTTACGGTTAACCGTTTTATGTTTAAATTTAACATAATATCATAGCAGTTGATTCTTCACCGTTTCATTCTGCTCCATATTCCGCTCCACCGACGATTGGGCAATTCTTTCTAGCAATGATGCTAGTATGTCTTTAATCTATTCCTTAAAACAAGTCTCGTCATCTTTTGCAGACTAAGGCATAAAATCCTCCATAACATTTGATGGAGTTTTGTTCCATGGGTTTTCTGGATCAATTCCGAATCCAAGTTTCATATTATGAAGAGCTGAGTTATATCTCCCTTTTATTTTTGAGAGTTTTTAAAATATGTTTTTCATGTTTGCGTCAGTCCATCTTCCTTTTAGATGCTGAACTTAGGTGCGAATGATCGTATGGTTGGTGAGACCCATCACTTCACAATTTTTGATAGACAGTTGTTAGTAGGGGTACAACCCACCACCTAGATGGATTTACATTGTATTCGATTTTTCATGTGCAAAAGCTGGTTAGGGGTGTTCACCCTACCCTACGGGTAGAAAATATTGTCTTTCATCTTCTTACCCGATACTTTACAGAAGAATTTTTTTTTGGCCTACCTTACCCGATCAGGTGTGGTATTCCTATTCGACTTCCTACGCGAATAATCGGGTAAGAAATAAGGTAGAAAATCGGGTAAAAACTTTTGTAACTATTAATTTTAGATCATTTTAATAATTTAATTAAATAACATATACCAATTTAACAACACAATAAATTAATAATATTAAAACCTAAACAACTACAATAACAATTATAATAAAACATAAGAAAGTATGAACATCAATCTATCATAATTGTTACACAAATACAAATAATTATTTTAAGTTTAAACCATATGAAACACATTAAAATCATAACTACTCCAATAGTTCACTAGTTTACCACAAATCATGTAACCTACAGAAAAAATAAGTCCACATTTTCGCAATTCAAATATCCACAACAATAACAATGTTATAATATAATTTATAGCACATAAAATACTCTTATAATTACTAAAAAAATATAAATATATTAAATATATTTTTTGCGGGTAGGATAGGGTAGGAATACAGAAATTGATGGATATTTCGCATTCCCACCCGATTTAATCGGAAGACCAAAAACTCCTTCGCATTCCTACATGATTTTTGCAGCTAGCCATTCAATAGGGTAGGGTAAGGTCGTGTAGGGTAAAAAATTGTAGTCAATCAAAAATTTGAACACCCCTAAAGCTGGCCATGAACCTATTACCTGTACATCAGTTAACCAGAGATTTTTACTGTGCGGCTATGTTCTTATCTGATTCGTGTTATTTGTAGGACCTGAGTACCAGAATGATTATTATCAGGAGACATGTTGAATTATATAGGCGATCCACCTCTAGTTTCACCAGATCTTCTACCTCCATCACCTGTACTTGTTTTGTCTTTATCTGTTCCTAGCTTGTATGCTAGTATTTTACCTAATACTTGTCGTTATGATTTTTCATTACAAGCTGTTCAGTTGTGGCATGATCGTTTTAGACATACAAATTTTAAATATTTATGTATGTTATTTCCTACTTTGAACAATGCATGTGTTGGTGGTAAACTTGATTGTGTTATATGTTCCTTATCGAAACATGTTCGGACCAATTATATTCCTAGCATGCACCAATCACCCAAACCATTTAACCTAATATATTGACATTTGGGGACTCTTTCTTGTTACTGCTTTGTCAGGTGTTCGATACTATGTGATATTTATAGATGACCATACTCGTTATACTTGGATCTATCTTTTGCATAGGAAGTCTGATGTACTCTCTGTTATCACTCAGTTTCTCCAAATGATTAAGACACAATTTGATGTCATTGTTCGTGTTATTCGTTCGAATAATGCCAAAGAATATGTGTCTGATGCCTAAGTGTTTCACCTTTCTTCCCAAGATTTTTTTCAGTAGCTCACTTGTCCATATATTCCTGAGCAAAATTGAGTTGCAGAAAGAAAAAATAGGAGTCTGATAGGGATGGTACGTTGTATGCTTAGAGGTATGAGGGGTACCAAAATTTTATTGGCATTTTATTGCTTTGACTTCTATCTTTCTGTGCAATCGTACACCGAGTCATGTTCTTCAGTATAGGGCTCCCTTATAGGTCTTATTCCCTGAGCAAAAACTTTTTTCGATCCCCCCTTGTGTTTTTGGCTGCACATATTTTGTTCAGGTTTGATCTCCTACTCGTGATAAGCTTAGTGATAAAGCAATTTGTTGTGTCACTATGGGCTATTGTCATCAGTCCAAGGGATATCGGTGTTATGATCCTATTAGGCGCTGTATATATAACAGTGTAGAAGTTACCTTTCTTGAACATATTCCTTATTTTTCTTCTATCCCTCTGTTTGCCCTTTGGTTGATGATCCTCTGTTTGATTTTTCGTTACCATAGGAGCCAGAGTCATTGGTCACTACCACTACAGAGTCATCAGTCTCTCGTCCTCTAGAACCACTCATCCCTATCAGTATAGAGTCATCAGATTCTCTTCCTTTGCAGGTTTATGATCGTCACCCTCACTCTCATTCCCATAGTGATGTCCTTTCTACCTCAGGCGATGCAGTTAATATTTCTCAGTTCATTGAGCATATTGATGTACCTATTGTTAGTACTAATGAGATTATAGATACTGAGTCAGTTACTTTACCAGATGAGACATTGCCTGTGGAGGATGATGATTTAGGGCGTCATTATCCGCGACGTCTAGTTGTTCGTTATAGTTGGATCGCCAGAATTTTATATTCGATCTCTACTTATGTTTCTTATGATGCTCTATCTCCAACATTTCGAGCTTATAATATGGTCTTATCTGATACACCGATGCCTCGTTCTGTTTCAGAGGTAATACAGGAGCCGCAGTAGGTTCTTGCCATGCAAACGGAGATTGACACTCTTCAACGTAATCATATGTGGGATCCTGCCTCTTTACCTTCAGGGGTGAAGCCTATTAGCTACCACTAGATTTATACCTTGGGGTCTGTTTGTTTCGAGTATAAAATTTAGGTGGTATAAGATTTTATATCTATTCCACTCCGATCCAATGATATATTATACCTGGTCTTAAACTATACTCTCATCCTTCCCCTTGTTTGTTTGTCACAAATATTAACTGTGTAATACCTACTTAAAAAAATCAATAATTACGGCTATGACTTGTAAAAAGACAATTGTAACCTTGTAACCTTAAAAAGACAATTGTACATGAGGGTAGTTAGGTCTTTTTACTCTATTATACCTCCATCTTATTTGTACCGGGCATATAATACCACCGGGTAGGTGATATTCATTAAGATAATCTACAATGTATTA